ATTGCCTCTCTTTGACTTAAGAGATGTGCTCTTAATGACCCAATATTAAATTCCATCTTTTTAATTCTCTAAACCATGTGAATTTTAAAAGATTCACTTGGCAGAATACCATGTAATTTTAGTACTCTGATAATCATCTTCCTCCTTCATATGAAAAGGCTGTAAGAAAGGCACCATTTAGGGGTCCTGCCGCCTTCCTCACATGACTCCTCCCCACCAGAGCCCAGCTCGTGTCCCTGGGGACCGCTCATCTGTGTGGCAGACTGACTCGTTTGTTTAAATTCTCACCCCACTTGGTATACAATTAGATGGAAATCATCAGAAGCTAGATCCCAACACCTACTCCCCTTTTCTTGAGGGATTCCTACACAACCTTGAATGACCTGCAAGTGATTCACAGACAGGAGTTTCTTGCCTTTAAGTGTTGGGTTTGGGGTTTCAGTGGCTTTGATAATGGGAAGAATAGCTTGATGGCATGATGGGCCATCCTTCACTTGTAATGACGACTCATCTGTGGTCTGTGCCCAGAAACAAGGAGAGGCAAGCAGATCATCTATGGACAGGGTTTGTACAGAGGAACACAGGCGTTACTTTGGTTCTAGAAATTACCATGACTGGCCCAAGAAACCTCTTCCCAACTAATTCCATTCTTCATTATGTGGTTAGTTTGTCTCTTTTTTCTTTTAATCCTGGACCTACAATCTACAAGTTGTATAACATGACCAAGTTGTTTTAACCTCTCCTTGTTTCCTCTTCTAAGAAGGGAAGACGATGCTAGAACCTACCTCAGAGGATCAGAGCGAGGGTTCCATGGAACAGCTCATGCAGAGCACTCACACCGCACCTGACATGTAATACATACACCATGTGAGCAATTTTTGAAAATTATTAGCAGTCTTTGGGCTTGGTGACTGGGCCAAATTGGTGAAACCCTCCTTTGCTACTATTTTCTTACCTGTGAAATTCAGAAAACTGTAGGCCCTATTTCAGTGCTGTTGTGAGGATTCGATGACACAGTACAGGGCCGGCATCGAGTCAATGCTCAACATCAGTTTGTTAAAAGCGTTAAGATTGTTTAGATTTCCGCAATGCCCCGTCCCTGCACAGCACTCAGCACATCACAGGTGTTCACCAGGTGCCTGGTGCAAGTCCCTGCCTTCACAGAATAAAGGATGGGGAGCAAAGGAACTTAATAGGACCAAGGCCCCTCCTCCCTAAAAATATTCCCCAGCCCTAGCTTGTGAGAGATTCATTTGATCAACAAATTATTTTTAAAAGGAAATAAAGAGTGAAAGTGTTTTTCACACCTGAGAATGACTTAATCCAAGAATCAGCATGAAAACAAACCGCTGACAGCTGTCCCACCAAGGGCCCAGAGCTTTGGGCAAAGGGAACAGTTCTGGGGAGTAGCCTGGCCAGACATCCAAAGGCAGGTATTGGACAACTCAAGAGATGCAAAAGCACCTTAGACATCCTAATGAGGAAAGAAAACATGGGGACAGAAAGAGAAGAAACACCAGCTTTTTTTTTCTTTTTTTAAGATTTTATTTATTTGACAGAGAGAGAGAGAGACAGCGAGAGAGGAACACAAGCAGGGGAAGTGGGTGAGGGAGAAGCAGGCTTCCCACTGAGCAAGGAGCCCGATGCGGGGCTCGATCCCAGGACCCGGGGATCATGACCTGAGCCGAAGGCAGACACTTAACCACTGAGCCACCCAGGCGCCCTGAAAAACCAGTTTTGTCTGGGGCCAGCACCGACAGACGGGTAAGTCCCCTTGGCTGTACCACCCTGAACCGTTTGGGTGCTATCTTTGTTTGAAGACTAGACGCTTGGTCCTAGCCAGCATGATCTGGCTTCCTAGTTTAGGACAAAGTGCATTACAATATTGCCACAGACTGAATGTTTGTGCCCCCTTAAAATGCCTACGTTGAGGCCCTGATCCCCAAAGCGATGGTACTTAGAGGTGAGGCATTAGGAGGTGAGTTAGGTCATAAGCGTGTTGCCCTGATGATAGGATTTGTGCCCTTGTAAGAAGAGATTGGGAGAAACCCCCACCCCCCTGTGGGGACACAGTGACAGGTGGCTGTCTGCAAACCAGGATGAGAGCCCTCACCAGATACCAAATCTGCCTGCACCCTGACTTCAGACTCCCTAGCCTCCAGAACTGTGAGGAATGAATGTCCTGTCTGTTGTTTAAGCCACCCAGTCTCTGGCATTTTATTGTAACAGTCTGAGCTGACCAAGAAATCTATTTTAAATAAGGAAGAAAAAAAAAAAACCAACCCAGCCACATTTTCAAAAAATTGAATTGTATCAATTTTTTGGTTGACATGTATTTGGTGAGAACAGGTCAAAAACTTCAGTTGTATTTATGTTTCCTTGAATACAATATTAAAAATATGAATGTGAGGGGCACCTGCCTGGCTCAGTCAGTAAAGCACGTGACTCTTGATCTCAGGATTGTGAGTTCAAGCCCCACGTTGGGCCTGGAGCTTACTTAAAACAAAAAAAAAAATATGCAGGGGCACCTGGGTGGCCCAGTCAGTTAAGCATATGACTCTTGATTCTGGCTGAGGTTGTGATCTCAGGGTCATGGGATCGAATGCCACATCGGGCTCTACGCTCAGTGTAGAGTCTGCTTGGGACTCTCTCTCCCTCTGCCCCTTCCCTCACTTGTTCTCTTATTATAAAATAATAAATAAAATCATTTTAAGAATATGTATGTGAATTATGACATCAATTTAACATCAGAGAATATATTCACGTGACCTTTTTTAGAAGTAACATTAACTAATGCCTACTGGGTGCTAACTAAATGCTAGGCGTGTTTTTAAGTGTTTACCACAAATGCATAAAATCCTCCCAATAATTGTACGAGGAGAAACTATTACCTTCCCCTTTTTATAGATGAGGAAACTCAGGTAAGAAACCACATAAGCCTGCACGACGAGTAAGTGATGCGCCATGATTTGACCCCGGGCAGCCTGGTTCCAGCCCATGTAGCCACTGCAGCCTTTCCCCTTGCTGGGTAGTAAAGGCCCAGTAACTCAAGGGACATTTTCATCATAAGCATACAAACACCATCATGGTTATTTATACATCTCTCCCCCTCGAGACACTATGAGAACCTCAAGTACAGGAAATGCCATGTTACCCATGTCTACATGTTCTCAGGCCCTGGCACTGAAAGGTGGTAGAAAGCAAGAGAAGGCAAATCTTCATGGGCTCCCCTATGTTTCTCATTTCTTTTTCTAATCTGGGAATAAAGAAGAAAGTCTTTAGTCTTTAAAAATCAAAGTATTCCCAATTACCAAAAAAAGTTTAAAATTATAAAAAAAATGCACAACATGTGCTTAGTTCAAAACAATTTTACATTCTTATGCTGGAAAAAAATCCGAAATTCATAAGCCTGTTGATTTATGTAACCCACATAGCTATGGCTTGGCATTACATGGTCACTGTCCTTCAGAAGCCACACGCCAACACATCACACTGGTGAACCGAACAGTCGTCCACTTCCCCGTGCACGGGTCTCACACACACACCTCTCGACAGTAGTTCCAAGAGGCCCAGGCGATCACGTCACTGGCTGGTTCCCACACTGCCCGGGACCGGAGTGGTTCGGAGATCCAGCCGAGCTCCTCGACACCCTGCCATAGCCCTCAGTAACCCCCCACCAGAGAAGCTCCCTTTCTGATCACTTTACCCATGCAGGTTCCAGACGAGATTTCACAAATGGCTTTTACAGCTAAGGAAAAGTTAAAAACTCACTGAACTAGTCCAAGTCTCTCCTGTAGTTGAGTTTTTATAAGTAACAAAACCGTCTCTTAGACTTCCCAACTTGCTTGAAAATAAAGCACCACTGTAAATGCAGAGCATACCTTTTTATTTTTTAAGATTTTATTTATTTATATGTCAGAGAGAGAGAGCGCGCACAAGCAGGGAGAGTGGCAGCTAAGGGAGAAGCAGGCTCTCCGCTGAGCGGGGAGCCCAATGTGGGGGCTCGATCCCAGGACCCTGGGATCATGACCTGAGCCGAAGGCAGACGCTCAACCAACCGAGCCACCCAGGCATCCCTAGAGCATACCTCTTCTAAAAATGAAATTCAAGCCAGAGGTGAGAGCAAACAGCAAGAATGGACTTCCACAGAATAAAGATGGCTGACTAACTCCAGGATGTCTTGTCTCACCAGGAATCTACATCATGACAGGAACACACTGGATCTAAATTCCACTGGGGGGGGGGCTTCAGGGCAGAGCTGGAGGTCCTCATTAAGAAGCAGGAAAAACCTCAGACCTCCATGCTCAGAATTCAACCCCAGGACCTCCGCTCCAGAGCCATTATCAGAAACACTCAAACCACAGGCTGTGGGCTGGAAAAGATAGAATCCCAGCAGTTCTCCAGTTGGGATCACACCCTTCAGCAAGCCGGATGCTGCTTTAGCCCCAAGAAGAACTTCCAGCAATGGGCAACGGGTTAGACCAACAGCTGAAAACCACCCTCCTCATGAGAACCCCTTTAAAAATCAGCAAATATGAGGGCCTCTTCAGAATATGGGAGTGAAAATGTGCTTCCACATGACAAAGCAGGGGAGGAAAATTTTCCCCTAAAGCAATTCAATAAAACTACAAAATGAGTCCCAAATGTGCAGAAAAATCCCATTAGGGAGATGCACAGGTGAGGAACTAATATGAACGAACCCACCTGGTTTTAAATAAAAACACACCTTCCAATAATGAGGGGGAACGGGTGTCGTCATACACTCAGTCATTCCTGGAGTGAGGACAGTTAAGGGGACAAGCGGACGGGCAAATTCTGAATTTCTGCAAACTCCCGGGTGAACCAACTTACCGTGGTTTACACTCAGCCCCAGTTCAAGAACTGGAGAGGGGGCTACAAAACCAACTAATGCCCAAATAGCCAGGATAACAGCAATCGAGAAATATGATGCTTCAAAAAATACTTTGTAAGTAAATAATAATACACAGAAGATACATGAGTACTGTACAAATGCAGATTTATTTTTCTTCCCTTCATCCATAGTATGAAAAAGGTTGAAAATTGTTAGGAAACCACTTACATACAAAGCACCTCTGAAATTATGCTTTTCTTCGGAAAACAACTTATAAAAAATAATAAACATTTAAAAATTCAAGTCCTTTAATAAAGTATTTTACACTCCTGAATGTTAAAACTCCTGTGTTTCCTAAAATATAGTACAATTTAAAAAAAAACTTATAAAGTGACACTGATTTGAATTCCACAGGATCCCTGACAATTAAAAATATGTTCTCCCCTATAAAGTAAATCTGTTCTTCACAGGCAAAACAATAGTTAAAGTGTATTTCTCTGATTAATTCATTGAGATTTATTTTATTCTCCAGCTATTTCTTACAGTAGACTAATGGTAATTTATAGTTTCTTCAAGTAAGTTAACAAAACATATCCAAAATGTTAATCACCACATGCATGATTCTGGGAGAGTGACAATATCTATACATACCCCAAAAAACCATTTCACCAATTAACAAGAGCCAATGTGGCTCATTATTCCCTGGGGCAAATCTTCTTCAAGAAGATACGACAGTTTTCCCTTGGTCCTGCTACAGCTATTTCTGAGTAGCATTTTTCCCCCCAGAAAGTAAATGCTCCCAGGGTGAAAGTCAAGAAATGTAGTGTTTGGCGCTGTGATTTTGGAATGTTGATGAAATTTCCAGGGACTCTCTGACCATCCATCCATCCTGACCACATGAGATAAGATCACCTCTGAGCGTGTACCCCAACCTGTGATGGGAACAGGATTCCACTCCTCTCATCACTCTAGGACCAGGCAACATGACTGGTTTACCGGTTTAACAGACCACCAGCCAGACGGGTTGGTAAGTGAGCTACAGAAAGCATCCCACCTATGGAGATATACTGTACCTGGGGGCATGTGTGTCTGTCTGAGTGGGGGCTGAAAGAACAGGAATCTCTCGTCATTATTAAGGTCACAATGAAAAAAAGCTCAACTAAATTGGTGCAAGTCTAAGCACACTACCACTTCTTAATTGCTAAAAAGTTTTCAAATACTTGATACAAATTTCATAGTTCACAGACTCCAAAAGGAAAATTACCACATTTCTCATCTGAGTGGAGTCATTTTAAGCACCTTTGTAAGGACAGATGTTAGATGGGGAAGCAGGGCAGGATGGTGTGAGCAGGAGGTGCAAAAAAAAAAAAAAAAAAAAAAATTCGATGTTATAAAGGTTTTTCCTTTCCTTTAAGTTTTCCAAATATTTTACATTTTCTGTGCCCCTGAATAATGCGAGCTGTGGAGTGGCTGCCTGTGTGAAAGGAGCTGCCTCCAGACCGTGAAGTTCAAGGACTCATCAAGTCCATACCCAATTACCAGTTGAAGTGGTCTTTTGCAGATAAAAGTTCCTGAGGCTTCCTTTTTCAGTTCATCTTCCAAACTTCACCTTTCCTGTAAGAAACCTAACAAAAGAAAGAATCAAACAAATTCAGGGATTCACTGTTGGGGGGAAAGGAAGCATGCTTTTAGGGAAAATCACTTGGCCATTTCAAAAAGGATCTTCTGCAATGGCTGGGTTTTCCTGAGCTGAAGACAAGCCACTGCAATTTAAAGACCACAGTTACAAGGTAATAAAACATCCTGAGAAGAATACAGAATTCCCCCAATTAACTGGATATTCTGGCCACACAAAGGCACAAAATATTGGTAAATTTTGATTTTTTTTTTTTTGCTTGTTTGTTTTTAACTCAGAAGAGTTTTGTTTTCGGATGCCTGGGTGGCTCAGATGGTTAAGCGTCTGCCTTCAGCTCAGGTCATGATCCCGGGGTCCTGGGATCGAGTCCCACATCGGGCTCCCTGCTCCTTGGGAGCCTGCTTCTCCCTCCGCTTCTCCCTCTCTCTCTCTCTCCCTCCCTCTCTCTCCTCCTCTGTCTCTCATGAATAAATAAATAAAATCTTTAAAAAAAATATTATAAAAAAGAAGAGTTTTGTTTTCCTATCTAATGAGGGAATTGGGCTAATAAGCTAGCTTTTATGATCTCTTTCAGTGCTCAAAAAAAATCTCACAAACCCCTTTATGGTTCTAATGTATCAACAAGTCAAGTGTCTAGTGAGATCAGGAGCAGAGACAAAAAAACAAAATAACAACCCATTACAAAGATTTTTCTGTGAGAGAGATTTTTCAAAGCTTATTACTCTGAAGGGAGAGGCTGTGATTATTTGGTTATGACAACACAGAGGCCACTGTTGGCAACAGGCAGGAGCGCCTATATGCAAATAAGCAGATTTCCACACGTGGGCCTCAGTAATTTACAAAATTTCAACATATCCAGGAATATGAATGAAAAAATCGGCACCAAAACTCAATATTCTATTTGAATAAGCTTGAGGCTTCTGCATCCAAAATCTACTGGGGAAATATGCCCACAGTATCTCAAAGCATCAGGACAGATCACAGAATGATTTTACTGCTCATATAAACTTGTGAGGCATTTACACATTTTTACATCCTCTTTGGAATAAAAAGCCCAAACAGAATTCCAATAAAGCCCTCTCTCTGACTTACTGAGGCTTTGGAGAAGTAACACTGCATTTAACAACTACGGTAATAATAGGTAATAAAGGTTTGAAGTGGTTTGACCCATGTGCCAAATCAAGCCACACACACAAAAAGAAGTTATTAAAAACAACGGAAGGAACTGTGTAGTTTTCTGTATTAAGCCTAGAAACTTTAGCCCTGCTCTGGGCTCTCGGCTTTTCCTCGTCTCTTCTCTGCTACTGGAGGTTCACTGGCGCCACCCAGTGGCCTTCCCCAGCACTGCTTCAGCGCCACAAGGCCTGGAGGCGGAAATGTCTCAAGTACCACAATGTAACCTCCTTATCCACCTCAGCCCTTCGCGAGCCTTAACTACCTGCCTGGAGCTTTCCCATGCATTATCTTTTTTTCATTCTCACAATAAACCCAGGACATGGGGGTTTTTGCATCCATTTGCCAGATGGGAACACAGAGGCTTAAAGTTGGGTTGAGAATTTGCTTAGTCACAAGCCAGCCAGCACTTGAGATGGGATTTGAACCATTCCTCTGAGCCCACGCACAAATCAGCTTTCTGATCTCTACTTATGGCAGTCCACATGCTTACTCGACCTTTACATAATTCTCTGAACCCAAACTCACAAGTAAGCAAGCAACACATTCTATGGTAGAAAGCTGCTATCTGCGAAGACACAGCTTGATTCTAAGGAAGCGACTAAGATAATTTTCTGCTCACCTTTCAGCACATCTTGGACTTCAACAGAAACGTTTTTCAGGCACTTATATAAATTCTCGGCTGTGGCATTACCCTGCTCCTTTTCTTGCCACTTCTTCAGCATCCTAAAGTTACACATCGTAATGTCTTCTTTCTTCTCCCGGATATCATCAATATCCCCAATCTCCAACTCCAGGTTGGCAATGGCAATTTTTATCCACTCCTTCCCCAGCTTCGCAGCAAGGGTAATCAACTGTGCGTCTGTTAAAAGGGTTCTGGTCTTTGCTCCATCTAAAAGCAAACAAGGAAGTCCACCATTCCTTTCAACACATCAATCATTTATAGCAATTTATAATGAAAATGTATTCTCCTTATATAAGAAAGGACACCATGATTTGTAACATGAGCTGCCTTTAAAATATATTTAAGTCTCCCTGCTTTCCACACTATTATGGGAAGGGAACGATTTCATATAATAACATTAAACCAGGGTATAATGTTCACAGTGGTAATTCAGTAACTCGGGGAATGAGACTGTTTTACAAAGCAGCACAAATTGGGTGGGAATAAAAAAAAAAATCAGACTCCAAAAATAATTTATATAGCTCAAAAAGAAAAATATACAGTTACACCCTTGCCCAGCTCTGTGTCTCTATCTGAATGTTAGTGCCATACATAGACGCTACCTTACGGGCCACTAAAGCGGGCAGCAAGAGATCTGAATCGCAATCTCCATTATGCCATCTCCTGGCATTTGGGGAGAAGCACAATCCACAGAAAAGTCATGAGATGGTATCTGTAATATCTGTGGAACTCTAAAAAACAGCATCATAATCTTGGAGGGACATGTGTTTGCTGCTGTTAAACCATCGGCCCCATGAAAAAATATGAGCCCTATCACTAAGCTGGATTTTCTCTTTTCATGCTTTTTAGCCAGTTGTGCAATAGTGTAGCAAAGCTCACTGAGGTCGCCTAGATTCAGTGAAGGATCATAAAGGCATTACAAATACTAGAGGTGAAATTAGAAGGGAGCGAGAGGCCTGCCCTTCCTCCAGGACCACAATACCTCTGCTCATCTACAGCCCACAATTTACTAATAGGAATGTAACCTTTGTGCTGGGACCCTTCCCCACCTCACAGATCCCTAACCTTCTAGATTGAAGAATGGATCTAAGCAATGGCCTGCGCCCTCTAGTGGCTTCTTGAGACGTGGTGCATTGCTCCTAGCTCTCCCAACGGCCACTGCAATGGAAGCTGCACGGGGAACCTAGGAAAAATTGCAAGTTCTCAGGACCATCCCCAGATCTGTTTCTGATTCCGAACCTAAACTTTAACAAGATCTCCAGATGATTCTATTGAGCCTGAGTGCTGACCATATTTAAAAAGCATCAATCACACTCACAGAGTAAATCTAAAACCACCAGGATGGTGGTGACTTAGTATCTCAAAGAACGTTGTGGAAGTACCTAAAACAAAGTAAATCCTTATTAAAGTATTTAGATACCACACTGTCAACTCCAAAAAGGCTGGAAATCCTTAATCTTTCTAGGTAGCATTTAATAATTTTAATTCTTTTTCTACCTACTTGCTATTGGAGTTAATTTTAAATAGCCAGAAGTTAACGGCATGTAACAAGAAACCTATAACTGTGTTCCAGTTATAAGATGAATACGGGCTGAGGATCTAATGGACAGCATGGTGACTAGAGTTAATACTGTATTATATACTTGAAATTTACTGAGAGTAGATGTTACATATTGTTGCCATCAAAAACAAAACAAAACAAGAAAGTGAGGTGATGGATGTACTAATTAACTTGATTGGTAAATATTTTACAATGTATATGTGTATCAAATCATCACATTGTATGCTTTATGTATACAGAATTTTATTTGTCAATTATACCTCAATAAAACTAGAAAAAAACGTATTCCAATATAGTTAGGTTTTTAAAATAATTCTAGAGCCTCACTTACTTTGATGTTTACTTAACAAAAATAACAATAAACATTTCTATAGTGATACACAGTAAAAATCATCCACATGCCACCCTCACAATCTGTTCTAGAAAGTACAGAGTATCTTGCTTCACTTTACAGAGAGCTTATCTGCTTTCAGAGATGCATACCTTACAATAATAGTAAAAGAATAGGTATTTTGATGAAGCAGTTAATTTATGGAGTTACATGAGGTTCCTGAAGCCTTGAGACCTTGAGTCTCATATAATTTGAGACTGTTTTTAAACTTAAGTTTGTAAATTCTGGCTGGACTTGAATTTTGAGCTACATACTCCATCTTCTGGTTCCTTGGAGTACTGTTGTTAAACATTTAAATCTCGTATTTTCACAACTATCAAGCCTTGGTCTCTGCCACTTAATTGGAAGAAATTGAGACGTGCCTCCACTGAGCTGGAGGCTCTTTACCCCAGATGTAGCTAGTAACCATGAAGCCAATGAATGCACACAGGGACATTCACAATTTCATTCAATCGACATTCATTGTCTTCTACAGAAAAGGCTCCATGCTCACTGCTACAGGAAAGATAAAGATGGACAGTTCATGGCCCCTGTGCTTACAGACTATAAGGGAGCTCCCCTGGGTGCCCCATTCTATTTAGACCGAGTGAAGGGGTTCCATTGGAGGACTCAAACTGGAAAAAGGGTAGGGCCGGCCAAGCAGGACCATTCTCCCGGCCTGAGGCGCTGGGACACAGGAGAAGGTATCTGGGAGGACAGGCACAGCTGGGGCGCGGCTCCAGGAGACTGACCCAACAGCTGGGCTTGGAAGAGTATCAGTGGGGGAAGCCAGGGAAAACAATTTATAGCAGTTGATGACCTTTTTACACACCTGAAGTGTCAACCTGCTTCATTCTCTTGTCATAGACGTCCTCATCAGATAAGCTACTAGTCATTTTTCGCCGCCTGTTACCTTAAAATAAAAAAAAATCAACAAATTGGCTTTCCCAAATATTTATTTTCTACCTACCTTTTTTTTTTAAGATTTTATTCATTTATTTATTTATTTATTTAACAGAGAGGGAACACAAGCAGGGGGAGGGGCAGAGGGAGAAGCAGGCTTCCCGCAGAGCAGGGAGCCCGATGCGGGGCTGGATCCCAGGACCCCGGGATCATGACCTGAGCCGAAGGCAGGCGCTTAACCGACTGAGCCACCCAGGCGCCCCTCTACCTACCTTTAACCTGGATTTTTAAGGAAATCATCATTCAGGTAGAAACAAATTGAAAATGAATTCAAAGGTTGTTCAGATGATTAAGAGAGTAACAGAATACTTAGCAGGTCTTTAGGGGTACCACATTTGCCCAGCAAAATAAAAATTCTAGTGGACAGAAGAAATAAAATAGGTTAAAACTCATTCAATGTCCAGTTACCTAGCACTTACCATTTGTGCTTCTTTTCGAAATGTTCTGATTCTGATCATGCTGAACCCAGTCACCTGTTAAAGGATAATAAGCAGCAATTGGAACAGACAAAATTTGATTTAAAGCAATTCATGAAAATGTATGAAGCTCTAGAGTCTTGGCAGTCTCTCTCAAGTTCAAATAGGAGTTTGGGGTTTTAACCTGGTACGTATGCCAATGCACATATCTTTGAGATAAATACTGAGCACCCCTCCCAACAGGTCCTACAAGACAAATGCTTCCCAAATTCAAGCCATCTGCACACAACTATCCCAATGCTTGCCAAACCCATATGCCAGGTGAAATGTTACTTATTCAATATTTCTTTACATCTCTAACTACTGTAAACAGAACACTGGTATCACTTGCTATATGGATAAGGAAGTCATAAAGATAAAAAATGTTTATTTTAAATGTTATTTATATGTACTCCACCTAAAACAATCTCATATATTATCATTCTGTACTTTGGAACATTGTACATGGGGCGTTCTTTCTGAACACATCATTGTGATTCTACATCACCTCCCCTGTTTCAGATGCAGTCCCTGCTCTATAAGGTGTCTGTGCCTCATCCAGGCCTTCTGTAGGTCCCTAGAGTAAAGATGCCTTAATAGTGATGAGCAATCTCAATTAACCATTAGTTTAGCCCCTTCTCCCCCCCAAAACAGTAGAGACCAGAAACACCTTACAATGCAGAGTATTATTAAATATGTTTTTAAAAACCAATCATAAAAGGTCTTATAAAGTGGTCTTTAAAATGACCAAGAGACTCGTTCTTAGCCCAGAAAATGTGTTATTCAGATTGTACATGTTGAGTACCTCTATTACAGTGGCATTAGCTGTGACCAAAAAGTAACATCTAGCTAATTTAAGAGTATAATACTGGGAATAAGAATCAATCCCATCTACCAAAAAGGCTTGTGCTTAAACAAGGACTGAGAATTCCAAAATGCTTTGATCGGGTTTCACTGCTAGAGTATAAAGACACAACAGGAAAGGCAGACTATAACAGGCAGCAATCTGCACGGTGGAAAGACATAAATGTATGACCAGCACACAGCACTCATCCCACGTCGTCACTAGCAGAGACCTAATTCATGTGTCTACACGTGACCCAGTGGGTACAAAAGAAACTAGCCGAAAATGGACTCAAATGTGGTTCAGAAGATACAGAGACTTACAGAATACTTAACAGACCCTTGTTATTACTACATCTGTACAGCAAAATAAAAATTCTGGAGGATAAAATTAATAGAAGAGTGGGTTAAAATTCCTTTGATATCCCACTAATGGCACTTACTGCTTGTGCTGTTTTTTGGAATGATACTGGATTACGTATGATACCAGGAAAGAGTTAAGGTATTATAATTCAATGCAAATGATGCAAAAATAATTTCTACTACAATCATGTAGCATTGGCAGGAGGGACCCCAGTGCCATGCGCAGAGGAGGGTACAACAGCCACAAGCAGGTTCAGGGTCTTGCCCACACTCACTCACAGAGCTGCTCAATTCTAGGGCTGGAACTAGAACCCATAGGACCTCACTCCCAACCACTTTCCTCTGCCTCCCTTTTGGCTCCAAAATGTGCCCACTAGACATATGTCTGTTGTTTTAATAACTTCCTTCAAAGAGAACTGAAAGTCAAGGTCAGATCTGCCTGAGGAGGTGGCCAAGGGCAGCTACGGGGTGTCCCCCTGCATCTCCCCTCTTCCAGAGGAAGTCCAAATCAGCAGCAGCCCTCTCCAACTCCTCCCAGTGCAGGGGAGGATGTTGAAAAGGTGGTTGCCAAGGGACTCTCCAGCACAGAAATCTTAAACAAGGGGAATGCGTTCCCGCAGCAGAGCTGTAATCACACAGAGCAGGGCTACCAGCTGCAGATCAGATAGACAGGGTGAAGCAAATGAGACAGGAAATCAGTCAAAATGCAGATGTACATCAAGGTCATGGGACAGACTTTGTCAGGACGTCCCTAATTCACATTAAAGCATCTGAGATCCAAACCTCAGAATGTAAGGGGGGGAGAAAAAACAAAACCCTCTACTGACTAAGCCCACCTGCTGCCTGAAGCTTCCACACCTCACTGAACTACCCACTGACCAAGGGGTCTGGCAGTGGGTGCCTGAGAACCAGAGCCTCGCCGGGGTCTTTGTGTCTCTTAATCAGATTTTTAGATGTTATGGTAATGGAACAATCACTCTACTTGTTTGCCCACCCAGACCGCCCCCGCAAACCCAAGTTTTCATTCAAGATACAAAACACTTACATTCTCTCAGTTTTGCTTTCCATACAATTTCCCCAGAATCCATTTCGACCAAAAGTAATTTAAACTCCACTGGTTGCTCCAAATACACTTCAATGTAATTTTTCAATTTTAAAAGTGAACCATCAACAAATTCAGTTTCCTTTAAAAAAAAAAAGGGGGGGGGATTTTTTTTTTTTTTTTTTAAATAAAAGCTGCATTAGTTGACAACACGAAATGTCAAATAAGGAATAACAGAAGGGTCAGTGCTGACTTGAATGCTCCCTGAAATTCTGATGCTGGAAATCTCACTCCGTAATCACAGACCCTATGGTTCACTTGCTTCTTCTAGTCCCTCTTTACTCAGACCTGCTTTTCTCCCTCATTGAGGCTTCCAGTACTTTGGCTCTATTTTTTTAAGGTGTAACTTTTCAGCCCTTTCTTGGTTTCAGTGTTTCATGTTCCCAAACTAATCACCCTTTCATAAGTGCTTTTAAGCTTCCTTACCATCTTTCACTTCGATCATTCCACAACCTGGAATTGATTCAAGACATTTACAGAACTACACTGTGTGTTTCGCCCACATCAAATTCCCTCATCGAATACCACCTTGCCCCAACAAACCCTCTAATTGCTATTTTATGGATAAAGGATCTCAGAGAACCTAACTAACTTGCCCAAATCCACATCTAGGAAGTGGGAGAACTGAATTCGCATCCACACATTCTGACTCAACCACCACATTTAACCTCTACATTTACCCACTACAGAGACTGCCCCATGCCTTGGACCTCCTCTGCTCCTCTCCAGACTGGCTAGGAAGCCTGCAGGGAGAAATCTACTTAAAAAAAAAAAAAAAATCAATAAACTGTACTGGGCATCACCCTTAAAAACCAACAGTCTTACACTCTCCCTCTCCCTTTCCATTATAAACCACTACCATTATCCTCACCATGGGTCACCAAGGCCTACAAAGCCAAGATCTCTCCCAAAGCCCTGTGCTTTGGGAGAGATTTCCCAAATCTCTCATTTCCCATTTCTCATTCCCATTTCTCTGGGGCCTTCGGCCTGGCTGCACATCCCCATCACCTCACTTAGGCACTTACGGTTCCCTCTTCCAGGAGGGCTGTCTCTCCCAGTGAATCCCTCTCCCTTCAAACCCAGAACAAATGTCACCACATAGGAACGCTTCCTTCCTGGAAACCCACTGCACCCATCTCTATGGTAATACCACCTCACACGTTAAAATTATTTCTTTACGTGACTATAGTATGTCTCTCTCTATACTGGCATCTTTTGAGGGAAAAGATCATGACTTACTCATTTTAGCTCTTCTCCCAGACTGACTTGTAATAGGTACTTTTGATAAATGTCAGTTAAACAAATCATTAATGGTCTAAAATCAGTAAGAACACCTTAGATTTAACAGTTTCACAACTCTCAGAGTACCCCAAAACCACTACCTTGTATGATCATTAGGGCAATCCTGAAAGATTATCCCCATTAATCCAGAAATTTGGTTAAGAGAGAGCACACAAATGCTAACAGAACTAGACTACTTAAAGCCCTCCCACCGTCATCATCTTGTGTAAGCGAGACCTCTGGGGACCATCTGAGTCCCTTCCTAGACAGATTTACCCATTCAATGTGTATTATTCCCTCTCCCAGTGGCTCTTAATCTTGGCAACACATTACAGTCACCCTGGGAGCTTTAACAAGCCCAATGCTGAGGCCACTCCCAGACCAATTAAGTCAGTATCGCTGGGGGTAGGACCCAGACCACAGACTTTTTTAAAAGCTCCCCTGGGAATTCCATTTGGCAGCAAAGGCCAAGTATCACACTGTTCTAAGCAAACCCTTCGAATTTCATTCCACGTTCCAGACAAGACTGCAGCTGGCTTCTGGTGATCATCTTGAGGTAGCATCTGCCAGGGCTAGGTGAGCTCGCAAGGGCTAGGAATCAACCTCTCAGATACCAGTGGGAAGACTGTGGCATTAGGGACCACGGGCAGAGTGGGCTCAGGGCCAGGCTTGTCTGCCACCTGGGCATGGGACCTGGGCAGTTCGCTCGCCCGCTTTGCACATTAATCCCTTCAGCATCACTGTTGTGAAGCTCAAAAAAAAAACAAAAACACACCAGGTGGGAAGAAACCCTTTGCAACTGGAAAGGAAGGTATGGAAGGCTGTCTGACCAACCTGACTGCTTCTACAGGGCCCGAGGCCTCTGATAATATAATAATGCAACATGGGCCACTGCCATCAGCTCTCCCGTGTTTCCTATTTTAACGTAATGGAATCCAAACATGTTTTCAATTTTTCACAAACTATAAAACAAACAAAAAGAGGTGTACAAAAAGAATTTCCACACAGATGTCTAGTTAGATAAGCTACAACACACATTCAGAGCATGCAATGAAAATAAGTTTTAAAAAATAACTTTGTCACTTTATAGGAAACCGAAATCACTTACAAATGTCATGGTGTGTACACTGAATAGTTGAAATCTAGTGACAATTTGTTCCCATAACTATTTTTCAAATGCCTTCCAATAAGAAAAAGCCAATATCCTTGTTAGCAACTCTTTCCTATTAATTTTCAGTGTTCTGTGACTTAAAGTTAAACTTAAGGTTTTTATTCCTTTGAAACTAACATTGTTTGAGGAATTTAATTTAAAAAACTCAAGAAAATTTAAAATCTTTTTAAAGGGAAAAAAATTAAATAGTCTATTTTTGCAATGGTGGCAGATTAACTCTGAAATTCAACAGTGTCTTTGGAAGAAGCTACAAGTTTAGCAAAACAATTGCTTTCCTATAAATAAATAAAAAATGAGAACAAAATGCATTCTTCTAAAACTTTCAAAATAACCTTAAAATATACATCCCTGCTGCTACTCCAAGTGGTTTTTTAAAATATATACCTCTGGGGTGATTTCAGCTTCTGGTTCACTGATCAGTCTGTATTTCTTCCCGTTCTGCAATAACTTCTGGCAAACAGGAGGCTTGTCAATTTTCATGAATTTCTTAGAGGAGTGCTTTACCGACTTGGAAATATCCTACAGGTAGAAATAGGTTTTGGCTATGAAATGTATCAGCAACAACTGTAAGAACTATAAGCGCCCAGCAGTGCACGTGCCGCCCTGCATTATCTTCATGTCCCCCTACAGAATGACAACAATGGAAAAACCTTCACAGCGCTCTAAAAAGGAGGCTAATTAGGCACCTTGAACCCACGCTGCAGGCTTCTAGGTCTCCAAATATCTTTCTGCCCAAGCACACCAGCCAGAAGCAACACACGTGCCCCGTATGGGACCAAAAGTTTGCTTCTGAAGGATATGAGAAAATTACATGAGCACTAGTATTACACATTTGTGTTGATTATCTGCCCATCATGTGAATACAAAGCAACGATTTTACTGTACACAGTTCTGCTTTACCCAGAGCTTGCTTCTACCCAGCACTCTATGTGTTTCTACCCTTAGTTTCACCACTCTCCCGGGGGGTCACTGATTTTATATACACAGTTCGAATGCCCCAAGGAGGCAGAGACTTTGGCCCAGGCTCACTTGTAAAGCAGCTGTATAGCTGAACGTGAAATCTGGGTTTCCTGAATGCAAAGTGCCAGGAAATCTTCCTACATAGGAAAAAAAAATCAACCCAAGAAGGTGTAAAAATACAGCATCAATAGGAAGCACATCCTGCCCTAACCATGCCATGTTCCTATGGTTCCAGCGATATAATCAGCTCCTCACCCCAGCTTCCCAGGAAGTAGAGATAACACCCTTTTAATTAACTGAATTTACTTTTAAGAAATATAAAGTTCATTGAATAATAGTACTTATTCTAAATCCATGCTAATTCTACTTTACTTTACTCTACTTTTTACACCATTTTGAAAAGTAGTTTCCCAATTGAAAGTATGAACTTTAACAGGATTATAGGAAGCATATTTTACCTTCTTAGGAAGAAACTAAAAATCTATTATTCAATAGAGTTCTTAAATTTTAATATAGATTGCCAATTGTAATCAATATAACTTATGTTTAAAGCCATCAAAACACTATAACCTAAAAACACTGGAAATAGGTAGTTTGATATTGGAGGGGGCCAAGGGCTGGCTAGGCCAAGATGGGCCACTTTGGCATGAAGATTGTTTTTAGCTCAAAAGCAATCACGGGTGGGGGTTGGGTGAAATATGTGAAGGGGATTAAGAGTACACTTATCATGAAGAGCCCTGAGTAATGTATAGAATTGATGAATCACTATATTGTACACCTGAAACTAACATAATCCTGTATGTTAACTATACTGGAATTTTTTAAAAAATTAATTAATTCAAACAATTTTTTTTAAAAAAGCAATCCGAACCCAGCAGATTCAGGAAAAGCTCTCCCCCACCCCACGCCTGACAGCTGCCTAAAAGAATCTGCATAGAGGACCTGCTCCAGGAAGAGAGCTGTCACCACAGATAACTACACTAGCACATGAACTAGGTATGGGAGACAGGGAGGAACATAGCAAGGCCTGTGGGATCAAACTCCTAAGTCCCATGGCTTCTGAGTGGCCCAGCAGATGCTTGTTTACCAGACATTTACTCTTTTTCATTGTCCTGCGAATTGCATTTCTTCCCCTTCAAGTCCCAGACCCCTGCCCCCTTCTCCTTAGATCAGAATGACCGCCCTCCAGGAATCAGAAAACTTGGCACGCACCTAGGCATTGACCCCATAACCTCTCTAGATGAGTGCCAAATGAGACCCACAGCAGGGGGACACTTCAATCAACAGGAACGGGACCCACATACACATGGCATCATGTCTGAACACAAAGGAGTCAACACTTATTATTCATTTTCATTAACTTTACCTTGATGAAAGACTCGTTATTGGTTGCTATGTACACTCGAAAAGACAAGGATGGGTTATGGTCAATGGCTTTGTAGAGAACCACAGCCCCGTGGTGGTATACGGTCTCTTCACTTTGAATAACAGGTCCCACAGGAGAAAGAGAGCTCACACGCCATTTGACGTGGGTTGTAGAATGATCCACGGTAGATTCTAATGAGGCCCCAGAACTTTTAACATGTAAGACTTTGAATGTCATATTGGCATCATGGTCTGTTAAAATATGAAGGTAAATTAGCGCTCCAGGCAGTACACGGGTTGCACACATACTCTCACACATACACTCACGTGCACACGAATTAGACTTTTAGGAAACAAATACTTACGACCCAAGCAGAGGGAATGTGGAAACTGAATGGAGATAAGACAGGTTGGGTCACATTTAACATCAAACAAGGGTCCACCGACAACCCAGGGTTTAACAACCAGGTCTGCATATTTGCTCCAGGACAAAACGCAATACTTGATGTCAACTTTTCTGTTAACCTCAAATATCAGACCAGTTTCCGTGCACTGGTAAGTTCCCTCTGTGTCCAACTTCAGTCTGTATTGGACAGATAAGAACACCTTTTTAGTCCTTATGTTTGGTCAGGGGAGGACTTCTTAAAATTATTTATGTTTTTAATTTCATTCAAAAGCACTGATGAAATTCTATAGCATTTTGAAGAAGCATCACTACCAAAGAAAACAGTCCAAGTAATTACATAAAGTGTGTGAGATTAATTAGGTTGTTTTGTGTTCCCCCTACCTGGGGTCATTTTTATGTACGAAGTTAAATTACTGACGATGTTAAATTTTCTCTATTCGCAACTACTTACAAAAACTGTTCCCTGGAAAGGAGCCTGGGGGTCACTTGTTCATTGTGTTTCTGGAGAAAAAGTACAGACATTTTAGCAAATAATACACAAGTAAATGTTATTTTCTTAAAGCAAATTAGAGAATCATATTCTTTAATGAAAAGATACTTACATTTTCAGCATTACAGTGTTCACAGTAAGGTTGGATCTTTTTCAGTTCTAAACGATAGAGAAAAAGTTTCACTTATAATGAATGTGATCGGCATTTTCAAATACAAATTTTTAAATAAATATATGTGAGATGACCAGATGACAAAATTCAGAGGTATATGCCCCTTCAGCAGTAACAATATTTAAAAGAATATTTTGGAAAATGTCAGTTTATACCTGAATGTGAATGATCTTTGGGCAATTCTTTATCCTCCCAGTCTTCTGCTGTGAACGAGATCATCACACGTGTGTCGGCACAAGTCAGTCACAGGGTAAACAGTGTACCACTCAAGCACCCACCTTCAGCTTCCCAACCAACAGAACTTTAAACATGTATTTAAACACCTCCACGAGTCAATCCAATGACACATTATGTCTGTCAATCCCACTGTAGGTCTAAGGTGCAAAAATGAGCTCGAATGTAACTCGAGTTTCAGTGTACCCTATTTTGGCACATAAATCTTTATGTGATCTTTCTATGCGGCAGCAAAGGCTTTGTCATCATCCTTTACACCTGACCCTCTCACACAAGCATGGGAGAGAAGCAGAGGAAACCGCATTGCCTGGTTCTTACTCTGAGCAGAAGCTTCCTCCGTGCAAGACCCTCCTGGCTCCCCATCTGTGAAGACAAGAGGGGCACATGAGCAATCTCTTCATTAGTTATTCCTCACTGGGGCCAGTGTCTCCACCAGAGAGCTGCAGCCCCCACTGAAGATTCCTTCATGGCCCAAGATAATGCCTGGCTGGCATCAGCCCTCCAGCTATTAGGGCTAGAGATTAGCCTGGAAGAAAAGAATTGACAGCTGATTTTAAGCATATTTAAACTTGTAACTTATAAGCATATTTAAACTTATGGAACGACTGTAAGAGTCTCTGATTTAGCCTGCAGATTCCTTCCATACGGCTCAAGGCCCTATACGATCTGGCTACACATTACCTCATCTCCTGCCTGCCTCCCCGCACCTGAGGCCCTCCAGTCACTGCCTACCACTTCTCCACCTCAAAACTCACTCCTGACTCAGGGCCTTTGCACATACTGTCTCCTCTCACAAATATTCATGTTGTTTGCCTCCTCACATCTTTGTGGTCTCTGCTCAAACGTCCCCTTATCTGAGAGGCTTTCCTGACACACATGCACACTCCCCCTCCCTGAAACAGGGCCTGCCTGACATACTCACTCTGCCCCCTTCATTTTCCTTTGGGGCATCTCCCCCACCTGGCACACTGTAGTTTAGTGTTTTCTGCTTCCTGTTTCTCTCCCTACTAGAATGTAAGCTTCATGAGGACTGTACCGCAAGGGCCTGGTAAGTGCTCAGTCACTATTTTCTGAATGATTAGAATTCTGTAATACAAAAATGTATTAAGAAAGGGAAGAGCAGGGGCGCCTGGGTGGCTCAGTCAGTTAAGCGTCTGCCTTTGGCTCAGGTCATGATCCCAGGGTCCTGGGATAGAGCCCTGCATCGGGCTCCCTGCTCAGCGGGGAGTCTGCTTCTCCCTCTGCCTCTCCCTCTACCCCTTCCCCCTGCTCATGCTCACTTTCTCTCTTTCTCTCAAATAAATAAAATCTTAAAAAAAGAGAGAGAGAGAGAGAGAGAAAGAAAGGGAACAGCAATGAATTTTTCTATTATCTACACTGGTCACTAGTTGCATAAGCTTGGGCTATCTGGTGATATTACTAAGTCTCCCCAAGCTTCACTTTCCATATCTATCCAACGGAGATTAGAATAATACCACCCCCCAAAATTTAGGAAAATTAAATGACCATTCCCTAATGCTCAGTAAGTGTTAGATAACTATTATTAACTATTATTTTGCTATGGTGATAGGTGGGACTCATTAAAAAAATTTAAGAATTCTAGACAACAACCCTGTCACTTAAGGCAAGACCTAAGGTGTCAAATGCTTGGTTTTATATTGTAAAGGTCTGAACAACCTTTGGGAGGGTCACCCCATGGGTAAGGCACTCCTCAACACATATACAAGGTCCTATGCCATCATCAATGCCCAGGAAGTACAGACACTCACCCCCCCCCGCCAGGATAGCGCTCCTGCCTGATCTCCTGGCCTATAGCGTCAGTATCCAGGGACCAGGGCTTGCAAGAAAGAACCAGCTTTAAAAAAAACAGCATGAAGATAATGTGGCAAAGAGAGACTAAAATTATTCAGAGTCCTAGACTCAGAACACAACAGATCCGAAATACTGACCCAACTCCTGCACCACACCATCCTCCGATCATATTTCCTCAGTTACTGTCCTATAAAGGATCACAAAATTCTAAATTATTGATTGGCTATCTGTCTACATTGTATTTGATCCATAGCCCATGGTTTTCTGCCTTAGGAGCAGAGGAAGTGAAAGAGATCAGAGAATGCTATCCAGCTGGCAAACACTGAGTCTCTGACCAGGTCTTCCCAGCCAAAGCAGAGAAATTGATGCAATTCTCCCCAGTTTATCAACTATGGCTTCCCTTCAATCCATCAGACGTGGGTGACCCCACATTCATGCCTGTGAGTAGAAAGCATATCCACTCAGGGAGGACGGGTGGGCCTGCATCGCCGGCTGGCCCACAGAGGAGCAAACGTTCCAACGTGGCCTACCCGGTCTTTCTACCTGACCTGAGAACGGACGTGAATGGGAGGGTACCTCTCTGGTCTCTCCCCTAATGGGAAGGATCAAAGACCTTTTAACAAAGAGAATAATCTTGGGGGAAGGCAGGACCTCTTCCACGACCTAGGGCTCCAAGGACAAGCAACCTCAGCCCACCCACAGAAGATGCCAGGGCACTCTGACTGCCAAAAATACCAAGATGTCTGACCCAGTCAAGGGCTAGCCCCTCCGTGCTCCACATACGCCCTGCTGACCACACTGACCCCACCCACCCACCAGATTTTGAGCCTATCTCGAGCCTAACTGACTCCGAATGCCTTCCACCTAGGTTGCCTGCCCTGGTGCGGCCCCGGCCCAGGCCTAGCTTCTGGACCCTGAGGGTCCTGACGCTGGACTCCACGTCCCTGTGGCCCATTACCCAGTTGTTACCTGGTAACATCAGAAACCTGGTCCCTATGCCAGCTTTCTAATTTCATTTCTACCTTAATCCAACCTATGAGGCTAGACTTTTGACTGCATTTTGAAGGATGAAATAATCCATAATGTACAGAGAATAGCAGGTGAGAGGGTGGGCACACAGTTTTTCTTTATGGGTATCAGAATATGACATTTCCACGAGGCTGCTACACACATCATTCCAGCTTCTTATCAATGTATAACGTGACTGCAAGAAACTTACAGTTACCATCACAGGTTCTCCACAGAGAAACTGCAGAGAGAATCAGATTATATACAGGACTTCTGAGTGAACAGATTTCATTTATTTTCAAGTACTGCAAAGGAGCTCTCTGACTGCCTTGCTACAGTGTTCACGGGCAGATCAGAGTCTTAAGACCTGGGGGGAAAAATCCTACAGTAAAATAAAATCACTTAAAATACAAGCTTAGTCACTCACGAAACTTTAGACAAAAACCCTATTTTATATTTAGAATCTATCCCCTTCAAGTGGTTTCATATTCAAGTTGTTCACAAATAGCTAGAACAGCATGCCAGAAACTCTAAACCACAAATGGTACATTTGCAGCGGCAAATAGTTGAGTCTGCCCTAATCTGTGAGCAGCGAGCACCACAGGAGGAAGCTCGGGCCGCTTGCGGCTGCGCAGCCGATTACGGCCGGCCTCTCAATCTCTCCTCCTTGGGGAACCTAAGAGCAGAACTGCACACATACAGTCTTGGTACCAATGCAGATCACAAGCATATGCTTTGTATGCCCCGTGTAGGGAGCTCACATTTTCAAAACACTTAGAGAAGTTTCCTAATGTTTACCTTTATTTTGCACAGAAAAAGATAATGAGCAAGCAATCGGTAACGTAAAAACCCCAAAGGCTACCGTTCCCGTTCTTCCTTTCAACAACAAAAAATAGAATCGGGAGGAAGGATAGACTCACTTGTTTGTTCTGGTTCTGGTTCCTCATTATCTACAAAAAGAAAAAAAAGTCTAAATCAAATTCTTTTGACAACCAAGAGGAAACACAGGCTGATGGGAAAATAGGTAAAATGTTTGGCTTTCGCCAATAGCAACCATTTCCTGCCTTTCTTCTTCAGCTCATCCTGTTCTCCCACTTCGCTTGCCAACTAGAAAGTATTTACCACGTATGTATTTCTTCAGGACTTCACAAAACCACGCTAGTAATAGGTCCTCAAACAATCTAAGAGATGTGTGCATTACTTTAAAATAAAAGTAAAGGCTCATAGGTTTAACCAGAATTCCATAATTAAGGAAAGGCATACATTACTCACCAGATTCACTTTCAGAGCTGCTCTCAGAGCTGCTGTCCTCCCCTGAATAAAAACATACGCCACGGGAAATACACAGACAATAAAAAATAAGAACTATTTTTTTAATTATACCTATTATAAAACAGATCTGAACTCAACTGATTTCTTCCTAATTTAATAAGTTCTCATTGAGTCTGGGGCGCCTGGGTGGCTCAGTTGGTTAGGCGACTGCCTTCGGCTCAGGTCATGATCCTGGAGTCCCGGGATCGAGTCCCGCATCGGGCTTCCCGCTCAGCGGGGAGTCTGCTTCTCCCTCTGCACCTCTCCCCTTTCATGTGCACTCTCTCTCTCTCTCTCATTCTCTCTCTCAAATAAATAAATAAAATCTTAAAAAAAAAATTCTCATTGAGTCCAAAGCTAGTCTGGTTCCTATAAGAGGGGGCTTATTTTTCTTTGGAACTGGATAAAACACACTTGAGTTATTTTAAGTATGAGCTCCGATCACCCTCTGGCTTCATCTAGTCATCGCGCAAGCCCTTCCCAGTCGTGACTTGCCCTCACTGTTCCTGTCTGGCTCCTGCATTTGCACATCTGGACAGTTCACATGCACAAGGCCAATGACACAACTGTGCAGAAATTCTGGAGTGTGCGTGCCGCTGACTGAAGCACAGGACAAACGTAGTCCATATTACCCAACTTACTTCTGGAGAGAGTGGTCCTCAAGAATGCTCCCTCCACTTCCTCACCCCCGACTCAGTGCCTCAGCCCACTGCAATCACGCTTCTGTTCCCACAGCTAGCTGGAAATCCTCTCCCTGATGTCCCTAAAGGACCACTAACCCCCAGAAAACGACTCCTGCAGGTAGACACCCACCACTCCCTCCTGCCCGCATGGCCCTCCCATGATGTCTGTCCTGGTACCCCTACCTCTCTGAGTGCTCTCCCCCGGGGCGGCCTTGCAACTCCTCTCTGCCACCACCGCCCTCCCCCACCAATTACTAACACCCCAGGCCCCACTCCCCATTCCCAGCCTCCTTTCCCCCTCGAGAGCCCTAAGAAGACACGGCTCCCACTCCGCAGTTGGATCGCGACCTCCACCTGCAGGGGTACCCGGGCCTCTCCTGGCAGACCCCAGGAACTCCCCAGGCCCAACCTGCCAGCCGGGCTCCTTCCCCACCCCCACTCCTCATCCTCTCCTCCTCCCAGTTTCCAGACACTGCCTCCCCCTCCACGCAGGCTCTGGATTCAGCGAGCACACACATGGAAAGCTATTAGCATTATTCTCAAACCCTCCTCCCTACGTCCATAACGAAGGAGTGGCAGCAGTTACAAGGAGGGAGGAAAAGATCTGAGAATCATGAGAACAGTAATAATAGCGCTAATAGCAGCTTCTTTGGAGTGTTCCATGTGCCAGGCATGTATATATGTTTACTCGTTTACATGTACTTACTCATATTTATTTACTCATTTTGTATATGGATACTTCACATATATTTATGTAAAATGCTTCACTTGTATTTACGCATGTCTCCTCATGACTGCCCAATGATGTAAGCAGAGGCCAGAACACCCCCACCCTACCCCCTGCCCCAGCTAGGATTTCAACTCACGCAGTCTGGCCGGAAACTGCACCCTCAACCATGTTGCTACACTTACACACATGCTTATTATTACTCCAGCAGGTCAGCCCCCGGGGAGCTGGTGACTGATTGGACATGGGCCTAGAGGGGGAGTGGGAGGCAGGTTCCTTCCTGCATGGGAGGATGCCTGGGTGGAGGTGAGGCACTGACTATGTAGGGACAGATGCTGGGAAATCAAGTAATGGGACGTGGCCTTGGTCTTCCAGGGCTAGAAGCACAGAAAAGGGTTCTCAACCTTGACTGCACCTTGGAATCACCTGGAGAGCTTTCTCAACACATCCATGCCCAGGACTCAGCCCTTCCCTTGAGGTTCTGATTTAGTTGGCCTGGGGTGGAGCCTGAACAGCAGTATTCTTTAAAGTATTCTTTAAAGTCTTAAAGTATTCTTTAAAGTCTCCAGATGATTGCAATGTGCAGCCAGGGCTGAGAACCACTGGCCTAGAATCAATCTATTTTAACCACTCCCCTGTTCCCCAAACTTGAACGCCAGGATGATTGCCACTCCTTCTCCAAGCCTTTCCAGATACCTCCCACTGCCTGGAAGCCCCTCCCCCAGGCCCCACCTCCAGAGTCCCCAGGGATCTGTTCAGACCCAGCCCAAAGTCACAGCTGCTGTCCTCCACCCCACCGAGTTAGCCACGCCTCCTCTGTGATCTCCCCTGTCACATGTATCCTCTGGCAAACCATGGCTGATTGTCTTGCTGTTGGTCCGCCAGGCCTGGAGCTAGGTCTTGACATCTTGAATGCATGAATGAACATCTGCCCGGCTTCCAAGTACCAAGCAGACCAAGACCAGCCTCCTAGGTCAGTTCCCTTGCTTATGGAAACTGCCACCTACCAATCTGGAGCGGTTCGCCTCCTTCTTCAGTCTCTCCTTGCCCTCCGTGTAAGGAGGCCAGCTTGCAAGCCAGCAGCCGGTCAATGCCTGAATGTAACAAAGCAGCTGCAGTCCATAAGTAAAATAAATTATAATTTTCTAAAACTGCACATGCTTCATACAGTATCAGTTTTTTAATAACTCAACATTGACTTAGGAGTACCATACCTTTTTCTTCTGAAGAGGCATTGTGATGGTCATCACTAGAACAAGAAAATAAAAAGACTTTTAAAAACTGATACAATTTTACATAAAATAATTACAAAAATCTTCAAAATGATCATTTTATTGTTTCTCCAGAAATGTTGCAAATTAAAGAACTCTCTCCCTCCTCAACGGTTTTCCTGCCCCTCTCATTCTCCACCTATGGGCTGACTCCACCTGCAGCCAAGCCAAACACACCAATGGGGCTCGTCGGGTGTGCACCTGACCCCCTTCTTGTCCCGTCACCCCCAGGAGCCAGCACCACACCTTCAAAGTTCACGGGATTGCCTTTCCATGCCCAGCCATCTGGCTTCCTCTGTCCCGTCCCTAGGCACACAGTCCCAACTGCCCAGCCCGCACTGGCCTCCAGGCCCTCCATCTGGCTCCGAGAGTCATCCTCCTTCACCCAGGTCGTCTCATTCTGCCTCTCTGGCCTCCTCCCTCGGATACAGCACCCTGAGCACTGAGGGCTCTAGAAGTTCTCTCCCTTGTCCTCACCACGGCCTGAACTCTCTGTGCCCTACGCACATGGTCTCCACTCTCCTGCTCACCGTTCTCCCCTGGACTCAAAGCTACCTGGCTTCTGTCCCACGCTACCAGTGACTCCTGGCCAACAGACCCAATGGGCCCTCTTCAGTCCTTAGTGACCACGGCCTCATTAGATGAAGGAGGTGGCGGGCTTCTCCATGGCTTCCACGTCCCTTCTGACCTGGTCTGCTGCCACCTCCCTGTGGCAGTGACCTCTCCCCTCTGTGTGTGCTTCATCTGCTGGCTCCATCCGCGCCAGCCTCCCGGGCAGCGACGTGACCCGGAGTCACCTCTGTGCACCCTCGTCTTCCCACCTCACATTGCCTCGGTGCGCCCTTCACGCCACCAGGGTTTCCCATCCTAAATCTGCACCTCCTTCCCAGGCCTCTTGTCTGAGTTCCAGGTGCCCGGGGCCTGGGGGGCACTTCAGTACTTTAAATTAACTACAGTCAGCACTTAATCGTTGCTTTCCCTCTTCATCAGAACCTGCTCCTCCTGACCTGCCTTTGCAGAGAATCACATCTCTGGGGCACCTACCTGGAACCTCCGGCAATCACCAGCTCCTGGCCCCTCTTCCTCATCAAGCAGCCAGTCCAAGTCCTCCTGAGCCTCCCTCCAGACATCTCTCAAATCTGTCCCCTCCTTGGCATACACTCTCTGCCTCAGTTTAAGTATGTTCCCTCTCTCTCTCTTCCTCTCCCTGTCTCTCACCATTGGCTCTCACCTGGTTAGTTGATTATAATTTTCTCATAATTATTATACGTACCTGCAGTCTCCCTCTCTTGGTTCATCATGTGACTATCAGTGTGATCTAATCACATCTTTGCGTATACCCTTCTGTGGCTTCTCAGTGCTTTCTGGCTAAACCTAAGTTCCTAGGCAGGACGCACAAGGACCTCCACCCTGCTCCCTCGTCTCCCACCCATGCGCTCCCCCAGAGTGAAAGATCTTCAGTGTCCCAAGCACACCCTGGATAAAACACACACACACACACACACACACACACACACACACACACACACACCCCACTCTCTCTATATCACCACCCCCCACCCAGGGTCATTGCCTATGGCCTTGCAAGTCATGTGCCCCAACTCTGGGGACTCCATGAACATGCACTATGATGTTGGGGCACCCCCTGGAGTTGTTTGTGCATATAAGTGACAGCCCTGCCCTCCCCTTGATGCCAAAACTCCTATTTATCATGTAAAAACAGCACTTCTCAAAGTATAGTCTGAGGAACAATAGAGCTATATGAGGTACCCTCTAAAAACAGTTGTTCTGAGCCCACTGAATCAGAACCTTTGATGAATAAATGAAAATACAGGAAGAAAACAACAATGATGTTATTTGCACTTATACGTGTTTAAAATCTTTATTTTCTCAATCACCCCAAAAAGCCTCTGAAGGCCATTTTACGAACGCAGAGAGAGGCTCAGACAGGTTAATTAATTTCCTCAGGGTCACAGAGCTAACAACTAGAGAAGGAGCACTTGACTCTAGACCATTATGACTTCAAAGCCCACGTATTTGCCTGGCCCAAAGCCTTCCCCCACTGCCCACCACTCCACCCCCAAGTCCCAACCCTGGCTGCAAACTGAGGACCAGGACAGCAAAGGCAGCAGACCAACTGCTTTCCCTTTCCCTCCTCTTCTTCCCCCAGGTCAGTTGGGACCCCCAGATGTTGTAAACCTCCTTGACTCAAGATTTTAGCTGGTAAACTTCCCCAAGTAGTTGGTATTTCCCAAGCTCCATGTCTCTAGGAAATACACACATTCTCGTTTTCAGACTTAAATCCTTTTGTTTTTTAATCCTCAACTCTTGCTCAAAAGGTCAGGCTGTGGTGGTGAACCTGTAATCGGGAAATGCTTCAAGAAACCAAGAAAGACTAAAATATGGTTTTTAATGAAATGTATAAAAGAACAAGCCAAACATGACATCTTTTTTCTCTAGACTCCTACCTCTTATAATGCAGTCACTATGCCTTTTAATTTGAAGATAATTATGAGAACATGGATTGAAAGTTGGCCATTCTTATTGCACAAAATATGCCTGGTTAAAACCCACTTCTGTGTTCTCAACAAAACTGTGTTTTTCTCCTTACTAGCACTTTCACTTTCCCCTTTCTGCAGCTGCTTATCTCTGTTTCCAGACTTGTACCCATCTGCTTAGATATTACAACTTTTGCTAAAACCCAGAAAGTCTCTGCATAAAACCTTCATTTTCTCCATGAAGTAGATGAGAGTGAGGAGGGTGAGTGGTGTCCAAGATTCAATTAGTGAGGCTGGGGAGTAGAAGGCCAGCTCCTGCCCAGAAACACCCGACACCAACCCCAGGGCAGAGAAGGGGGAGGGGTTTAGACGCAATGAGGAATGAGGAGGAGCCCGCCCCCCAGGCAGCTCCCGCCCACCCCCACCCCCGCCCCGCCTCAGGAAGGAAAGCCACACGGGGCAGGCCGACCGTAGTGGACCCAGGGGGCGCCTTGCCACTGCATGAATGCTTGGTGCCCGCCCTCTCTCCTATCATGGACACTGTTCTAAAGTAAACACCACAGCAATCATGGAGAGAGAGCACGCATTCCAAATGTTCTCAGTGTAATTCAGGGACTAAAGATAAGTAGGAAAGGGGCATGGACATCTACTCAGCACTTAAAACTCTTTAAATGTTGATGTGGACTCCATCATTATTACTAGGTAGAATTTTACTGCAGTTCCAACACCAGCATCAAATATAAATGTTGCCTCACACCTATCAGCTTCCGGGCCCCACACTGGCACAGCCCCTTCCCTTAGGGGAAGGGGGAAACAAAAACATCCTGCATCTTGTCACAGTAAAATCCCTGAGCTGCTGCAGGACGGAAAGAACAGGCTTAAAAACCTCAAAGAGCTAATATTAAATGAGGGTGTTTATTGAATGTTTGTTGGAAAAATGAGGATTCTATGAAACTATGTGCAAATGAGCAAAACCAATTGTTGTCAGAATTAAGTCATAGCTGCAATAAAATGAAACCTGAGAGCAATACCAAATCTTCATGTAGGTGCAGGACCTTAAAACTTCCAAAGTGCTTTCAGACCCACGAGAGCACCAAGCTCCTCACATGAACTCTGCCAGGAAGGCAGGGCAAGGACTGCCATCCCAACGTGCAGATGAGGACACTGCAGCTCAGAGGTGCCCAGTCACGTAAGCCAAACCCACACGGGCCGGTGAAGGATGCACGAGAACCAGAATGCCTGGACAGGCTGATATCAGGCATCAGAATGATTTCACCCAATTTGGCTCCATAAGTAATAATTCTCTACCCAAATATTTTTAACAATACTTAAGGTAAAAATAAAACCTTAATATGATAATGGCTTGTATTTGTTAAATGTTTACTGTGTGCTGGAAATTAAGTCAAGGACTTGGCATTATGTCTATTAGCTCATTTAACCATTAGGACCATCTTTTAAGTGCCTGACACCGGCCTAGTAGCATCCCCATTTCACAGAAGAGAAAATAATGCTCAGAGATCTTGGGTAACTTATCCAAGAATCCTGGTCCATCTGATTGGAGAGCCCAAGCTTTTACCAGTACAGTTTTACAAAAGAAAGCTGAAAATTCTGCCAAGTAGATAACGACAAAACATCAGTCTTTCTTCCTACTAGGTTCCTACTGCCTATGAAGGTAATTCTCAACTGTAGGTAAACAGAGTTTTTAGGCATACATAATATGCCCCAAATCCTCCTCTAACTTTTCACCAGAATTAAACCAAGTAGTATTTTACTTCTTTTAGCACCTATCAACCTTCTAGAAAACAGACCATAACAAGTAAAGTAAAACCCATAAGTAAATCAGTTAAAGAAAGTGGAAAAGATTTTATGTTAGTCACAAACCAGAGTTAAAATGCACAATCATGAAAAAACTATACTTCCCGGGGCATAATCGCAATGCAAATAATATTCTCTATAATATAGATCTCTTTTCCATCAACTCAAATTAACAAACGCCTATTTACCATATGACAGATGCTGCGCTAGGCAGAGGGGATATAAAAGTAACACAAGACACATGAACCCTGTCCCCAGGGGGCACCCAAATGGAGGTGGAGACAGATCAGAAAACAAATACATATGTATATGATGCAGGAGGAACAAAATAAAAATAAAAATAAACATAAGCTATAGTGTTAGCCCAGAGCAGGCTCTGAAGAACTAGGAAGAACCAAACTCTTATGCTAAGATCACAGGCATGTGACTGACAGCCAATTAAACCATGATGCTAAGACCATCTTGCATTTTCAAAAAGCACTGCATCCCCAAAAACAGGATCCTCTAGCTGTTAGGCTCAGAAAAAGCTGGAAACAAAAGGAACCTACAAGATCTTCCAGTCTGATGCATCATTTTACACAGGGAGATGGCAAAATAGGAGAAGGCAAGTGAATAAATACCCACGATCACATAGCTAGTTATAAGCAGACACAATCTCACAACTTGTCTCAGGTCTCCTGGTTTCCTTATCAATTCATTCATTCAACTAACACGTGTGGAGTGTGTGTGCCAGATATGAGTGAACAAAGCAACCGGTCTGTGCTTTCCCCAGCCCACCAGCCTGATGGGGAAGCCTGACTTCCTGTATCTAAGACAGGAAGTGCTTTGAGAGAATGACAAAAGAGCTCCTCTAAGATTGAGGAATTGGGGAGGGGTCCCTGGGGAAGTGACATTTAAGCTGAGCGACAAAGGACAGCAGAAATGGACAAGAGAGAAGGACTGGGAGTAGTGGGGGCAGCTCCTGTCTGAGACAGGAAGGAGCGGATCAAGTTCCAGGAACAGGAGGAAAGCAAGTGTGGCCAGGGGGAGAGAAGCAGGAGATGAGGAAGGTCAGGGAGGTGGAGAAATCCTAACTCTGTAACCAAACTGATGGTAACCCCAAGGATGCTAAGTGGCAATTATTCAGTCTGCTGAGTAGTCTCTATATTTCCATCTTGGGAAGACTGACATCTTAAAAGCAGAGGAGGAAGTCAATAGTGCAGGGTCCCAGAATCTGCTGTCTTCAGTGTCTTACATGGGGACCACGTGAACCCGTGCAACCCTCTGACTACCTGCAGGTTAAGACACTGCTTGTGTTGAGTCCAGAGGCCTAAGTATTTCCCCAAAGAAAACCTCAGTACCCCAGGCCACAAGAGCCAGTCCCCCTGCCCAGGCAGTCGTAGTAGTAGGTGACAAAAACCTCCCACAGGGCTGTGTAACTTTAAAGCACACTCCAAGGAAACTGTCTGCACTCAGAACTAAGCTCTAGAAGCCAAAAGTCCCCTCCATACAAGCCGGGACAGAAAGACTTCCATCCATGCCAAGCTCTCCAAGACCAGCCCTGGGGTAGATCGGAGACTCAATAAAGGGAAAGTGGGGGCAGGTGGAGGAGTGGGGGACAGGAGAGATGTGGGTACCCTAAGCCACCAGCTGTCCAAAACCTTGAGGATACTTCCTGAACCAAATTGGCTTCCCATCATGACCTAGTTTCTTTTCTTCTTTCTTCCCAAAGATCACCACTTCCAATCAGCTTGTTCACAAAAGAAGAAGCCATCCTATGGGTTCTTTTCTTCAATGTTCAGGTCCCTGAATGAGAGCACAGTCTTGGGTTCCTCCAAAGGTACTTAGTGCTGGTAAAGATGGAAAATCCACAGGGCTGGCTCAACAGGCTGGCTCCTTCACCTACCCGCCATCCCCTTTTTAAATTTCTCCAGTAGGAAAAAATAATGGTGGAACTGGTAGATCTTTGGGTACCAAAAGGCTAAAGGACTCATTGCATATTATTTGGAATAGGCAAAAACTGGAAACAACTACCATGCTCATTAAGAGTTAAGAAATGGATGAACAAAATGTGATATAATCATATAATGGAATATTATGAACAATGAAAATGAAAGAACTGCTTACACACAACAATGTGGATCAATCTCACAAACATAATGTTGCACAAAACAAACCAGACGTGAAGGTTATATGCTATATGATGCTATTTTTATAAAGCTTACAAATAAGCAAAACTAATCTCTCATTCCTTTGGGAAGGAGAAACAGGACTATGAGAAATCGGAGTATGAGAGGGGCTTCTAGGGTGCCATATTTTATGTCCTGACCTGGGCAATGGTGACATAGATGTGTTCACTTTGTGATGTGCCACTTAAGATGCTTGTGTTTTCTGTATGATTGTGTACACACACACACACACACACACACACGGGTTTTCAGCATCTCGGAAAAGGAAAGTATCTAGAACTCTGGCTTTACAGACCACAGTTGTGAATGGAGAATGACCCTGGCTGGTAGGGGAGCAAGATGAAGAGGCTAAGTGCATTGAGGATATGGCCTAAAAGGCAGCTAGCGGTGGGGCGGCAGGAAGTGGGGGAAACAGTTTCAGGGTTTACTCCCTTCCTCCTTCTTGTACCTGTCGGTGAGAGCTTAGCCTAATGTACGCCAAAGGGACGTGGGGCCAGGAGAGAAAAGGGCTGGGACCAGGCTGGCAGGGAGAAGGGGGCTGCTGGGACATTTCCAGCAGTGACAAGCTAAGGAGGGCAAGAGGAAAAGAGAAAGAAATCCTGAGTGAGCAAGGAGAGCTCTCCTGAGCTGAAGATGTGCGGGGTGGGGAATTCCCATGACTCAGCCCAGTAGAAGGAACTTCTCTTCTCCGCTCCTTGAGCCAGTAACATCTGACATACACCTGCATTAATGGAGTTATTGCACTGCCCTGCAGTAATTTGTTTCTAAGTCTGGGAACTAAAAAAACAATGAGTGTGAGCGAGGGGGTGTGTATAGCCAAGAATTCCACATCTCCAGCATCCAGCACATGGTTTGGCATATAATTTGCACCGAAAAAAAAAAAAAAAGTTCATTGAACAAATAAATGACAGAAAGACTAGGGTAGACATAAAGACTCTATTCCTCAGTATTTAAAAAATCTGTAACAAACAGCTTAAATGGCCAAAAATATTAGAAGGGAATGCTGTGCAGCTACTAAAAATTACAAGCAACTTTACAGTTTACAGAGACTTGCACCTCACCCTTGGCTGATACTGAATTTTATGGACTTTGTTGCCATGCTGAAACATGAAAATGACACATTAGCAACAATCTCCCTGAAGAGGCCAGGAAGATCAGAGATGGAGGACTAAGGAGTGTTCGTGGAAAGAGGTGGGGAGGGTCCATATCCTACAGTAATACCAACAAGGGCTGGTAGTTCTGGGTGACCAGCAGAAAAATTCGGTTAGCTCTGTTTGTGTAAATAACTGTGTTAATGTCACATGCTATTTTTCAATTCACTTCCTCTCTTTATTGGTTTGGCAGGGGGAAAACTTTACTTCTAGCAATAATTTAAAGTTCTCTTTAACAATCATTCCCAAGACTTGCTGTTGGGTGAACACCTCTATAAGAAGAGTTTTTGATTTTCAACGGGGACTCAGTTCGTGTCCTACTGTGGTTTTGTTCATGATCCGAACGTCAAGAAATCAAATTAGTAAAACCTAGCTACACACAGACTTTTCTAGGCTGCTTTCCTGATTGCAACAGTGTTTTAAAGAAAGGGCAGTGGCAGAAAAAACAAACCTCCCTCCTCCCTGTGAGAAACTGGGCCTAATGTTTAATGATCCACGAAAAACTGAAGTCGTGGACACTTTAAACCTTGGCAGTCTCTCCTTGTTCTAGTTGCTCCTGTAGAAACTCGGTTTTGCAGCAGTGACTGTCCAAAAAGAAAATTTTCTGCAGTCTGAATCCTTGCTGAGCGTTTCTGCACTGCTTAGGGTGACTTCCTGCACGTGCTTAACGGCAATGATAGGATTACCTAAAGGATATATTTCACAAACCGCCCATCACACGTCTTGCTGAACACCACATCCAATGCTAAAAGCCTCCTTCTGCAAATGACAGTAACTCTGGAGAATACGCCCACAGTATCCTTAGAACATCCCCAAACTAGCTCTTAATATAACATTCCCATGTAAAAAGCAGTTGCTTTTAAAGCTCTGCTGAGGGACGCCTGGGTGATCCAGTCGGTTAAGCGTCTGCCTTCGGCTCAGGTCATGATCCCAGGGTCTTGGGATCGAATCCCGCATCGGGCTCCCTAATTGGCGGAGAGCCTGCTTCTCCCTCTGCCTGCCGCTCCCCTTGCTTGTGCGTGCTCTCTCTTTCTCTCTGACAAATAAATAAATAAAATCTTTAAAAAAAATAAAGGTCTGATGACAAACAGAAGCACTGGCTACCTTTACTGTAATAGCAGAAATCCTTCAAGCAATGTTGACTGGAGCCTTCTGCGAGCGAGACGTTGTGTTAGCGCCACATCGCGGGTGAGGGGCTGCCGGGGGTGGGGCCTCCACATACGGGCAAGGGCGGCGTTAAGGGAGCTAATCCTACCCTCGACTCAAACAATTTAAAAGCCGACAGTGTTCAGCAAAACCCCGGGCACCCTCCTGGAGTGAGTCCTCTTCCAGGTACAGAGGGCGCAGGGGCTCCCGAGAGCTGAAGCCCGGGAGCTAGGGGCAGATGAGGACAGCAGAAACCGAGGCTCGGGGGCGGAGAGTCACAGTGGAGGCGGGAAGCGCGCGAGTCCACCCGCGGGGAGCAAGGGGGTGCCGCATGGCGACCTGCCTTCCCCGGCACTCGCCGGCCGCCCGCAGCCGCCTCCACCAGAAGGATGTGAATACATCGGGCCCACCTGCCACCGCGGCGACTCGGGGCAGCCGGCGCCCAGGGAAGCGCAGCCGCAGGGAGCAGCAGCGCCGCCTGTAGGCCCCGCCTCTGGGCCGGGAGCGCGGGGCCTCCGGAGCTGCGCGCCCCCGCCTCCCGCGCGGGCACCTGCGCGCGACCCCGCCGCCGCCTGCCCTACCCAGGTGCGGCCCGCCGAGACCCCGGAGCCAGGGATAGAGGGTCCGAGTCGGGCCCGGGGGGCGCATTGGCTCCCCACGCTCTGTGCCCGCGCGCAGCAGGCGCCGCCCGCGAAGTGTGCTTTGTTTGTGCGGCGGGAGCGGGGATGCCGGGACGGGAGTGGAGCCCTCGCCCCCTCCGGCACAGGGCAAAGGCAGAGCCCGGGAGGGGCTGGGGGTGCCGAAGGGGGCAAAGCCTCTTCTGCAACGCGTCGACGTTGGGCCCGGCCGTCCCCCGACCCCGCTCTGCCCTTTCTCCCTCCGAACCCCCCAGCCCCGCAGATGCGCTCACCTGCTCTCCACGACCCCCACGCCGCGGCTCATCGTCGCTCTGCGGCTGGGAGGGGGCGCCACGCGCGCCCCGGGCTCGGCGCTCAGTGCGTACCCGGGCGGCTGCTGGAGGGGCTCGCGTGCGGAGCGCTGCCCTGCACACTCGGAGGCGGCCGACGCTGCGCGGGGAGGGAAGAGGGCGAGCGAGAGCCACCGGGGGAGGGGACTGACTGGGAGGGGGTGCCGGGCGCGCATCCGCAGCGGCGGCCGGAGCCTGCCGAGGCTCCGGTAACGGAAACGCACGCTCGCCGGCGGCCCCGCGCGTGCACACCAGCGTACACACTCGCACACATGCGTGCGCACACCAGCCCAGCCCCGGCTGCATGTCGGCGCCCTAGCCCCGAGGGAACTCGGTTTGATGACCCTAAGCGGCGGTTTCTGTGAAGAAGGACCCGCGCTATTCTCTCAGGAGGGGTCGGAGAGCTCAAGTCATCCTGACTGGGGTCTGGCTACTCCAGTATCTGGGGATTTTCACTGGGGACATGAGACACCCCCACCACCAAGGGGTTCCCAGATTTGCTTCTTAGGATCTATAAACCCCCTGAAATTCTGTCAGGTTTTGTATCTGAAATACAAGCGCCTGGAATGAGGCACCACTGCCTAGACCGTTGGTGGTCTTCACCGCACACTGTTCTCTTTTACCCCATTTTTCAGCATGGCTGCTTGTCTGTTTTGTGGCATGGTGGCTTGTCACAGCACCTAGCCCAGGTCTGGCTCACTTCAGGGCGACTGCAGGAAGGAGGCAAAGGCAGAGTCCAGGATGGGTCGGTCCTCTAACTGGCAGCCTTCTCTTTGCTGTTCTGAAATTCTCCACAGACTGAAATACCCCTGACCTCCTGGAAATGGCCTCAAGTAATGCCTGAAGCTGGGGAAGAAAATGGCTCATTGCAGCTTGAAGAGACATCTGTCTTTGAGATTCCTCCAAAAGGCTCAGCCCCGTGCCTGCCTCCCTGTGACTGGAAGGTCCTGCACTGGCAGTGTGGGTGAGCACAATAAAAGTCATAACTCCTACCAGTGGAATACCTGTGAGTCCAACACTGTAGTCGACACTTTATATTCTAAGAAAGAGCTGCCCTGGCACTGTTACTGGGCCTTGATGTTCTCCCGCCGAACATCAACAATTTTGCAGAACATCAACACCAGACAAGGCCTCTCTGGGACCATGATGGATCAAGACAAGAACAAGATCACTCTGCAATCCTGTCGGAGCACAGACAAAATGTGAACATGGTCCAAGCCACAAAATACCGAACATACAGCTATCCTGGCTAATAAGAGGGACTGCTGCTTCTTGGCCACTCATGCCCTTTGCCTTACTTGAGTCTGCCCTCTCTATGGCTAAGATTTATGAAGATACACATTCATAGAACTACCCCTGCTTTCTTAAGCCTGTCCCCAAGTCAGTTAACAAGAGCCCAGATCCTTTATTTTTTTTTATTTTTTTTAAAAAGATTTTATTTATTTATTTGAGAGAGAGAGAATGAGAGACAGCATGAGAAGGAGGTGAGTCAGAGGGAGAAGCCGACTCCCCGCTGAGCAGGGAGCCCAATGCGGGACTCGATCCCAGGACTCCGGGATCATGACCTGAGCCGAAGGAAGACGCTTAACGACTGAGCCACCCAGGCGCCCAAGAGCCCAGATCCTTTAATGATATTTTCTAACATCCTCTCACTGAGACACCGTCATGGCGTCCCTCACCAATGAGTAATAAATCCAGCTTGTATAACTACAGGTGTATTCCAAGTGGTCTTTGGCAAGAGGACATTAAAAATAAATTATCTTGCTTAATCATTGCAATAACAACACAAGGTAAATATTACACCTTCTTTACATATAAGCTAACTGGGGTTCTAATAGATCATAAAACTGGAGCTCACACGGGGCCACCAGCTGTCAGTGAAAGCTGGTTCATGTTCACATGGGCTTGTGGGGAGCCAGACTAGTCTGTTGCCTACCCACACAAACTTTGGCTTCCAGATGAGCCTGAGCTCTAACCCCAGTTCTGCTATGGGAATTTGAGCAAGTTATTTAACTTTTCTCAATCTCAGCTTCTTTGCCCCTCCCCCCAAAGAGGGGATGTCTAAGAACTGGTATTTTTTTAATTGAGATATAATTGACAGATAACATTGTATCAATTTCAAGTATACAACATAATGATTCCTTAATTTGTACATATTGTGAAATGATCACCACAATAAGTCTAGTGAACATCCATCACGGCAGAGTTACAAATTTTTTTCTCATGATAAGAACTTTAAGATATACTCTCTTAGCAACTTTCAAATCTATAATACTTATAATTAACTATAAGGAATTGGCATATTTTGTATAAGCTCCCCAAGTGGCCAAACCCAGCACCTGTTGGCCCACAGTGGTTTGGGATCTACTGGCCCTATACTCCCTTTCCCTCTTTCCCATTCACTTCTCAACCAATTGTAACATTGTTCCTGACCCACTGCCCACTCTTGCTAAGGTCAGCAGTTACCTTGCAGCTGCTAGATCTGAAGTATACTTTTCCATATGCTATTGACTCACTTGACCATTCTCCCCTTCCTGAAATTCTCCTTCTTTGGCTTCCAGGAGGCCAACATGGTATGATAAGCAACTGAGGCCCAGAGAACTAAAACACTTGATCCAACAGCCTGTGAGACACTAAAGCCTGTAAACCACCATGTGAGTGAGCTTAGAAGTGGATCCTTTACCCCATGGTAAAGGATGGCTGCAGCCCTGGTGGGCCAAGCTACTTCCAGATTCCTGACCCATGAAAACTATGACATAATAAATGTTTGTTGTTTTAAGCTGCTAAATTTTGGGATAATTTGTTATGCAGCAGTAAACAACTAATACAAACAGGAAACAAGATGTTATGGTTAGTGCAGTAGAATCACATCATTTGCACTTCAATTTAGGTAAATTCAACCTTAGTGGGTTTTGAAAAAGAGGGAGAGAGAACAACTTATACGGTGTCGACAATTCTGCCTTCTACTCCAGTGAAATGACAGGATAAGATGAAAAAGGTAGGTCTGGTTTCATTAATCAGTCTCTGTTCCAGTCCTGGGCACCTCTCACAGAGGAGAAAGTCTTGATGCTGGCTGTGCAGCTCATATTTTTAACTATCCATATTTAGTACAAAGTGGGGGAAATGAGGCTAATTCACTGACTTGGGTTCGATATATAATGCAGTCAAAATAACCCCTGAAATCCCTTAACTCATCAGGACCTGAGCCCAGGAGTCCCCAAGCAAAGAATAGTACTCACCTTAGGCCAGGGCCAGCCCTGGAAACTTACTCCAGAGGGCCCCCCGTGGCCCTCCTCCATTCGTACCTCCCACAGGATGAGGAGCCAATGAGACCCAAGGGATGTGCCCTTCTGGAGACTGTTCCCCCCCACCCAACTTGGAGACCAAACTCAGGGGATAAGAGATCCCAAATTCCCTGTCCAAATGGTCCTGAGCCCACTTCTAGGGCCTGCATAGGACTTTTTCCCAGGTCCAACTTTCTGTGGATGGAGCATATCACCAGAGTGTACAGGCCAGGGTAAGGGAGACCAAGGGCAGCTGCTTAAGGGGATATGGATGGCGCTTGGGTGGTCCACATGGGAGCTGAGTGGTCCACATGTGTGTACAGAGCCCTTCACCATGCGGACAAGGCAAGCAGTGGAAAACCAAGAGGGTGGCCTATGGACCCTGAGCCAGCTCTCCTAATGTTGCCTCACACTGGTAATGGACTCTGAGAAGTCTAACTTGACCTGATCTTCCACATCATTTTACAGGAATATCTGTCAGGTCAGGAAAATGGAATGTATTTCATTTAACAGTGGGCTAGCTTGATTTATAACTTCTAAATATTTAGACATATTACATAGGGACATTCATCGTTACTGTAGACTTGGGTCCAAATGATCAGGAAGTTCTGGCCAAGAACTAAATTGCTTGTATTTACTTCAATTTACTCTAGTTTTGGCCTCTCTTTGCCTGAGGAAGTGGAGGCCAAGGCATCATTTGAATGGGAGAGAACACCACAATAAAGTGATTACTTTTCCATCTCCTTCTCCTTTTATTTAAATATATTTGTTTATTATTTTTCCCAACACATTTGGTTAAATCCATGAAGATGGTGTGTCTTCCCTCTCTGAGGCCCAAATGAGGCTTATTCTTGGGAACCCCTGATGGTAAAGTCCATGCTTGGATTTTTTGTTTTGTGGTGGTTGTTTAATCTTTTCCCTGGGGTAAATACTCATCTCAGTTAGGAGTGTTCATTCCAGACCATTTTCCCCAAACCTTCCCATATATTGTAGAAAATGCCATTTTTATGTATGTTTGTCTCAAAAATTGTGTGATACATGCACTGCTTTTCAGTTTGTTTTTACTCTACAGTGTATCTCAAAGGTCTATCTTAAGGACAAATTTTGTTATTTATATATTTAGCACTATTTGATTTATATAATTTTTAGTCTCATTTTGATACTAAGTATGAAATTTGTATGTGAGTCCTGCTTGTTTTTGGATTAAAAAGTAAATTTATTTATCTTAATTTTTAGAGAATGGAGTATTAGTAGAGAAAGATTTGAAGAGAGGATTTCCTGAAGATATCTTGGAGAATTCCTTAAATACTATAATATCAGGGGCACCTGGGTGGCTTAGTCGACTCTTGGTCTCAGCTCAGGTCTTGATCTCAGGGTCGTGGGTTCAAGCCCTGCATTGGGCTCCATGCTGGGTGTGGAGCCTACTTAAAAAAAAAAAAAAAAGATACTGTAAGATCAGAGTGAGAATCGTTCCTTGAAGCTGTGAAACAGGAGAAGATCAGGCATTTCCTGATTTAAGTATGTCAAAGACTACTCAGTTTTCTCTCCACATCTGTTTTCTCTGTGTCATAGACTCTTGTCTTCTGTACCAGGCCTAGAAAAGCAGATGCAGCCAAGATATCAACACTAAGAAGTTCTTTTGCTACTGACATTATCCAGTAGAAGTCTTTAGTTATGTATTCAAACAACTCTGGGTTTTCTTCCTAAAGGCCATTAATACATTCTCTTGGGTTCTGAGCTACCTTAGAGCTTGCAGTGTTTGTTTTCTAGAATGAGGGCATCCAGTTTTTTTGTTGAAGATGCTTTTCATGGCATCCTAGGACTTGCTATGCACCGGTTTCTCCAAATGACAAAACAAGCAGTCCTCCAGCTTCCATGGAAAAGGAGTGTTGCCCCCCGGCTCCACTGTCAGTCGGAGCTCACCACAGTACACCTTCCTTCCAGTGAAACACACCACAACTGACAACACAGCCCTTTGCCCAGAACTAATAGACTTCCAGCACTGAAGTTAAATCATTTATCTAGAAGAATCTTTATCTGGTTGTAATGGACTGAATGTTTGTGTCCCCTGCCCACATAATTTAGATGTTGAAACCCTACCCCCTGATGTGGTGGTACTGAATGTGAGGCCTTTAGGAGGTAATTAGGCATGCATGAAGTCATGATGGTGAGGACCACCCCCCCCATAATGAGATAAGTGTCTTCTTAAAAAGAGAAAAACAGGACACCAGAGCTCCCTTTCCATCTTGTGAGGAAATAGCAAAAAGGCAGCCACCTGCAAGCCAGGAAGAGAACTCTCACCAAAAACCAAATCTGCTAGCACCTTGGACTTGCCCAGCCTCCAGAACTGTGAGAAATAAATGTCTGTTGTTTAAGCCGCCCAGGCTGTGACATTTGTTATGGTAGCCCAAGCTGATCACACACTAGTCTTTACGCTTCTGTTGTCAACAAATGTTATTATATTTTGGGGAGGACTATTCTGTTTCTGCCTTTATCTGGCAGTCTAGACTTTATCTCTTTGCTTCATTTACTTTGAGACAGAAAGTATGTGAGGAGGAATTTGAGGAAAGTAACTTCAGCTAGGAAGTTACCATTCTTCCCTCCTACAACCCCTGAGATCCCCATTCTAATCATGCACCTGAAGATGTAACTACTCAAAGATGATTTCCAGATCTAGTTTTATGACACATCATCATGTCTCCGATGAACTCTAGGGCTGTTACAGAACAATAAAATATTGCTCAACACAATTTTAACTCGTCTTAATTTTTAAAATTAAAAATCATCTGGGTTTTTTTTTTTAGGAGGAAATAGGATAATTGTAATTCCAGAAAAAACTGGAAATTTTCCTTTTAGTGTGATTTACTATCATTTTATGTATAAACCCTGTCTTCCCATTTTTGATGACAGAATCCATAAGTACAGGTCAGGATGTTAGTTTGAGCTGAAAACAAATTTAGTAAAGGGCTTGCTACACAAAGTGGGATCCACGGGCCAGCAGCATCGGCATCACCTGGAAACTTGTTAGAAATGCAGAATCCCAGGCCCACGCAGACCTACTGAGTCCCAGTCGACATTTTAACACAACCTCCCGGTGATCTGTAAGCACTGCAGTTATGAGAAGCACTGATATAAAGATATTGGGTAGTTCATAGACTCTCCAAGAGGGTCAGAGAGCAGATTTGGGATATTGCTGTCTGGAACAATACCCCAATCATTCCACAGAGGGGCTCAGCGAGGACAGGAGCCTGGACAGCCGCTACTGGGCAGCAGACTGCATTCACCTTTGGAGCCCGTGTGGGTCCAGTCCCTTTTTCATCTCTCTAGCTTCCAAGCCGAGGCACAAGGGAGATGCGGAAGGTTGCTGGGGCCCACGTGACAGTCTGCCCCCCCCCGCCCCGCCCCCAGCTTGGGGGAGGCCAGGAAAGGGGCTGGCATTTTCGGTTTAAGTAATGACAGGAGGGGTGTGCCTCCGAAGGGGAGGGAGTCTTCAAAACATAGGCAAGGAGGTTCAGCTGCTGGGTGGCCGTAAAAAATGGCACATCTCCACTTCCTACGTATTTCTTTTTGGAGGAATGGTGGAGCCCAGCTCTGCCATTATCTCCCCAGTCACCTTTAGCAAATCTAGCCTCTCTTCCCTCGCCTTTCGTATTATTTTAGCATGATGGCTTCTATTTACACAGAGCTTTATAGTTTGCAAAGCATGTTTTCCTTTGAGCCACAGAACAACTCTGTGTAATAGATAAGGAGGGTAGTATAATCTCCACTTTATAGGTCGGAAAAGAGAGGCACAAAGTGACCTGTCTGCAAGTGCTGAGACCAGGAATCTTCGAGCTTCAGGCACTGTAACCCGGAACCACAGTTAAATGAGTTAATTCATGTGAAAGTAAACTGAGAGTGTAATGTGTTATTCCAGTGAAAGGTATTTCTTATCACTCCGGCATTGTTGCACAAATACGCTTCCTGGTGGACTGAATCACCCACCACGATCCTGTGGGTCCCAGAATCAGCAATCCCCTTTCTCTCCTTGTGGTATGGTAAAACTATCGCCAGGAAAAGTTAATAATTAATATCAGTGCTGGTGTGAATATTAATGAGCAATAAAAAATACCACAGGAACCCAGATGGAAGAACTGACTAAACTAAAATTGTTTCGCTGTTTACAGTCATCTGCAGAAAGTGACTGAGAAGACGTTAAACATTTCTTCTGAACTATTTTTGAAGAACTAAAATAGCCGCCAATTCAATTATTTGTTCTTTGTCCTCATACTTTATAAATTCTTCTATGAGTTCCCGTGTCCAATTCTAGGAGGTAAAAAGGCAGCTAGAGAAAGGCCCAGGACAATGATTAGACCAGAATTCAGGTCTTCTGTTCTCAAAATCAATGTTTATTTTGAGTTCCTAAATAATGAGGCTTTTCTATTTTTTTTTCTAGAAAGACACAAGTTACCTTTTATCTCTTTTAACAGTAGGTCACACCCTATGGTTCCTTCATCATCTGTTATGAATTCCACTAACTCCAGTTCTTTCTTTGTCATTGATGTTACATCAAGTGAAAGACTTTTCAACAGGGTTTTTAATTGGGTGAGTTCTCAAGGTCAAATGTCTTTGGCAAAACCTGCCCAAGGAAATAAGTTTTCAGCTAACATAGTGGAGGAAAGATTATTACACTTTTTTTACTATTATGAAGTCCCTCTGTGCAAATATATGATAATAAATGTTATCACCATCCCCTCTAAACTGAAATAATTTTATTCACATTCATTTATTTGCCTAAAATTGAGAGATTTTACTAAGAAAGAAAGGAAGAATGATTATTAGGACAACCAGGAGTCTTCTCTTCCTTGAACCTCACTGCTCTGTGACTGTGACCTTGGACAAGTAACTTGTCTTCTCTGAGCTTCAGTTTTGTTCTTTGTACAATGAGAATAGTAGGATCATAAGCATATTGTTAGGATTTAGCTAGTGCATATAAAGTAACTAGTTCAGTGCCCAGCACAAAGTAAGTGCTCAAT